TGGGGAATGTACAGATAAAGGAGAAATCAAACTAAAATGCTCTTTTAATATTAATAAACCTTCATGGACTGTTTCAGTCATTCATTACACTTGGCATATCTAACAGGGAAACAGAGAACAGAGTAATTAAAATGCATTGTATCTGCAGACTCCATCTGCTCCCTTGTCCATTTTTATGAAAGTGTTGTTGGCTTGTCTTTCCTGCACCATTAAATAGTTTCTCCTGCCTGATCAAATATGCCATGAGGAGCACATGTCTGGCTCAGGCAGTGAAACAGACACTGTTGATTAGCACCTTCGGTACTTTGCATATGAATATGTTCCAGTAATGAACAACAGTGCAGATCACGTCATGACTGCAAATACTTTCCTTACATTCACCAAGGCTTTGTGGTTTTAGTAACTACCTCACTTTACTGATGTTGATTTATTGTCTTTTTATAATTTATCACAATAAAATTTAACAGATTTCTTTGTTGAGGCGTTTTACATAAATGACTGTATCTACAAACACAACCAGACAAGAACAGTCTGCTGTGTTTCTTGTGTACACTGAGAAATAAATGCTACAATTTATATTAACGATAAATAATCATTAGACCCTTTAAATTGTCTAAATGTGCATGCAAATATTTTTTTCATTTTCTGTCTTTCACCTTTTTTGTTGGATTTGAATAAAATATATCTCGAAGAGTGACAGGTTACATACGAAGGGCTGTCTGCCATTTTCAAAGTTTCAGCATGAGGCTGAGGGCACACACAGGTGACTGACAGCAGCTGGCGTGCAGATTCAAGAGGAATAATAACTCATCAAGCTTATCTTCAATAAGCTGCTCTTTATGGTGCTAACTGCCTTTGGTTGTCTGGTTGCAGTGGGAGTCACCCAAAATGTCTGCAAATCTCTCAAGTCTGACTTGGTGTTTGTTACAGATTACAAAGACTCTGATGTGGCAAAGTTTCAGTTTGAGTCAATTCATCCCTCACAATAAAATCGTTCCAGCCATGACCACCTCAGTTACTAACATCTCCTCGTAAACAACCTACCATGATATGAAGTGTGCATCAAGTTAAATGAACAGCAGAGGAATAAACCAGTTTTTTTCCTTAAAATAATTTTTTCTTAGTATATAAACAAGGAGAGAGCAGGCGAATGTGTCTTCTACTTTTTTATCTTGAGATAAGTTCTATATGGTATCTTCTCGAGACAACAAAGCTTTTTTTTTTTTTTCGAGATAGCGGAAATAAATGTGGTCATTTTGACTAAGAAAAGTTTGTTTTTCCTTGATAACTAGAACTTGAGAGTCACATATGTAAAAAGGGGAAGTTAACATGAAAAGCAGGGCAATCATGCTCCCAGGACCAGCCAGACTCTCCAAGATTATTAAAAGCAGTACTGAATAAAGTGGGAGTAACGAAGATACATTCATTTTACACAATAACCATCTCATTGTCATTGGTAACAAAAAAAGCCACGCATGTAATTCCAGATAATAGAATAGTTACATTGTTAAAAACTCTATCTAAATAGATTATAACAACAAGTAAGGTCATTTTCTGCTTCCTTAGATGCACCCACATTTTTCAAATAGCCAAAAAGGCTCTTTTTACAGGACGCACCAATGTGACGCAAAAACACACCTCATTGTTTAATTATCAGTAAAATATGGACAAATTGTAACTTGTTACTCACCATGTTTTCGTGCTGAGTTAAACTCGGGTCTTGCAGGGTTCTTATGGTGTTCTCCAACAAAAAAAAAAAAAAAAAAAAACCTTGAAAAACAGAACTTGGGTTACAATTTTTACAAAATGATTAGACGCATGTTGTGTTTTCTGTGTCAATAATGACGCAATAAATTACTGATATAATGTAATTGACCAGTGCCTTTTTATTAATTACATCGTCATGGCTGTCTACACTGCAATCTTGTCTAACAGTAATTATAGAAATTGGTCATTACATGAGGAATAGCTCAAGTAGCAAAATCTTGTGATCCTACTGAGCGAGTGAAGTTCTTTTCTGACTGAACAGTCTAATCATTCCATTGTATGTCCTTATAAACTTAGAAAATAGAAATCTTTGAGGATATTGTAGTTTTTGCATTCCTAATTTGTCAAACCATCCTGTTTTAAAACAGCACCTGCTCCTAAGTCATCTTTTTTGTTTGAAACTAACGCTTAAAAGAAAAAGTGTTATAAGGTGAAAACTTTATTACTGAATACTGGATCAGTGTCTTTTCACAGCAGTGAAGCTTCATGGGTCGTCATCTGCTGCAAAGCTGTTCTAAACAGCATCACTCTTAATGGGCAGCTATCAAATTACATGAAATCACATGTACCGCTGGATATTAATTAGTCATATACTGGTATCGCTTGATGTGACAGCACACTGATGAGTCTACTCCGACTCAGAATATTAAAAGTGAGAGAGAAGTGTACATTTGTTGAAATCAAAGACAATATTTTCAGAACCAAACAGATTTTTTTTTTTTTGTCACATCTGCTCGGTGTTACTGATAACATCCTATAATTATCTCATCAGGAGGCCTTCACTGACACCGTCTGCAGCAGTTGCATCATCTTCCAATAAAACTCAACCCTCCTTATGCTGCAGCACCACACTGTTGTTTTTGGTGTTTTTCTCCTTAAAGGAAAGTTAAAAAAAAAATGAAAACATGACCAAAAAAGTTGTGAGAAAAAGCTGCAAATATTTTATAGACAAATACTTATAAAGTGGAAAAAATAAATAGAAAGAAAAACACTCTAGTTTTTAAATAATTGCTTTAGTTTCTCTTACATTTAACACTCTGATGTGATCTTGTAATGTGGTTGAAGCTACTTTCAGCTAAAATGTCATTTCTATCAAACTC